TGTGTGTGTATGTGTGTGGGGGAGGGGGTGTGTCTGTATAGTAGGCCTAATAAATATAATTATTATTACCATAATTATAATTATTATTACCATAATTATAATGCAGTTGGTTTTTGTGTATCCGAATATATATTTAGTATTATTGTGTTTAAGTTAAATTCCACTTCACGGATAATGTATCCAAAATCATGAAGAAACACACAGTACTGTTAAAAAAAGGTCACAGTAAGTAACATGGTAACATTATAGTTAATTGTAAAAATTATCACACGTCATTATTTGTCCCATTACCACCTTATATTAGCAATGTTAATACTGATAATATTGGTCGACATCATCATCATCATTATCGTCACCATTGGTATTATTTAATTATTGTCATGATAATGATTAGATCCATATTACTGTGCTTATTAATACTGTACTTTACTGCATACGTCAAGTAGGCTAAATACATTTCGTAGTATTTATATTTTGGTATGCATGACTGAGATACATTCCTAAAAAATTCGACCTAGACCTAGCTAACTGTATACCTTATTGTTTTGTAATTATAGCCAAGTCATTATTCATTTCAAAAATAGGCCTATGTATTTGAAAATAATAAATGGAGAGCTAAGTCTGTGGTGTTCAATACTCCTTATCTTCGCCGGCCTTGTCGCTATCACATCATTAGTCATCAGCACTTACTGTATAGAAACCGCTCTGACAATAAAGGAAAGTACAATAAATATTCATGATTTATTGCCGAATCAGGAAGGTGATATTTGAATCCATGGCGCTACCAATCCCCACTGCCTCAAACGTCCAGGGAAAAAAATGTTAACGGCCCATTCTCATCACGGGGAGTCAGACGATTGGTGCTGAACGTCGCATTCACGCATAGCCACACATATGATTCTGGTCACGGTAGGTCAGACGATTGGTGGTGAACATCGTATTAACATAATATAGTGGTACATTTTGGTCACGACAGGTCAGAAATTTGGTAAGGAACATCGCATTCACACAGAGCGGCACATTCTGGTCAATGTCGGTCAGACGATCAGTGCTGACGATCATCGCATTCAGACAGCGGTACATTCTGGTCACGGAAGTCAGACGATTAGTGATGAATGCCACATTCACACATAGCGGCACGTTCTGGTCATGTGGCCAGACAATTAGTGCTGAACATCGCATTCACACAAACATCGCGGCACATTCTTAACAGTAAATTGGTCGCAGCGAGAGTCTATTGGTGCCGAACATGGCATTCACACATAGCAGCACCTTCTGTTCACGGGAAGTCAGACGATTGGTCCCAAACATGGCATTCACACATAGAGGCACATCCTGGTCACCGGGGGAGTCAGACGATTGATAACGAACAGTGCATTCACACATAAAGGCACATTCTGGCCACGGAAGTCAGACGATTGGTCCAGAAAGCACAATTGGAAACTACCGTTATGTTGAAGTTTTTTTTAAAGAAATGCATCTTTATGTAATATTTTCAAATTATCTATATTGCTATCAACTACTTTGCTAATTCATCCGGTAAATGACAAGTAGTTGTACTTCCTTTTTGATGTTGAAGAATCAGACAAATAAATACACTTAAAAATAAGCAATACAATATTCAGCTTTACTTTATTCAAATTCAAAGCAGTATGGTAAGTAACAAGCAGCGAAAGCCTGAAACCATAGCCTTACATTATTAAAATAGCAGTAGGCCTACATTAATAACAAAAAAACAATACGAAAAAAAAACAACAATCTAAAACTTTTTTTTTCAGGTGAAATTACAGAAACAGAAAAATTAGCTATTTTTAAGAATGCATAATGTAAACAATTTTTTCCTAATAGTATGTAATTTAATGTCCAAGTATTTCAAATGCTTTATTTAATTTTAAACCCACATAGGCCCCTAACACAATTAAACGGAAGTTTAAATATTGGGTTAGATATAGGGCATATTGATGAAGTTTAAGGAAAGCGCAATTTTAATCACATCAAATCAAAGTAAATAAAGCAGAAGTATTCCTATATGTTATTTTCTGTCCTAACAGTTTTGCTTCCAGTTTTTGTAGTTTCCGTTATATGATTCTGAAGCCTGGGAAAAATACCTGGCGGCGTTTGCATCAATTATAATCAGCCATGAAAGACAGCGACAAAATCAACAATAAAAAATAATACGAAATAAAAAATTAATATATATTATGGCAACGACAGGAGCGAATCCTTCATAATGGCACGGCATGATAATAAGTATTTGAGAAAGTGTATGTACCCCATTGGGAATCAATTTCAAGACCTTCAGATTACCGAGCTATGAGATCAAGTGGTAACTACACCATCGGATTTTCCCATTATGATACGTTTTTTCTCAGGGTATTGCATAGGCCTGTCACGCCAAAATTGGTCCGGGCTA